TGCAGCTGTGTCTGTCTCTGGGCCCTTTCTGCTGCAGTGGACAGTGTGTCATGGCCCTTGTGTTGGTCCACAGAACAGAGGTAACAGATGATCTGCTGATCTGTGCGGCAGAACAACTTCTTCACCTCGTTGTGTTGAGAGCAGAGGTTTTCCTGGAGTTTGTCAGAGGGCGCCACCAGCTGGTGTTTCTGTAGTACTGCCACATCACGATGAGGCTGGAGGTGAGTCTCACAGTAAGAGACCAGACACTGCAGACAGGAGCTGACAGCCTTCAGCTTCCTCCCAGTGCACACATCACAACTCACATCTCCAGGTCCAGCAGAGCAGTGGTCAGCAGGGGGCGCTGTGAGCCCTGTCTTCTTCAGCTCCTCCACTATATTAGCTAACACTGTGCTCTTGACCAGGACAGGCCTGGGGACAAAGCTCTGTCTGCATTGAGGACAGCTGTACCTTTGCTCTTGGTCCCAGTTGGTTTGGATACAGTCTCTGCAGTAGCTGTGTCCACAGGGAAGAGTCACTGGCTCCTTCAGTAGATCCAAACAGATGGGACAAGTTATGGTTTCCTGGTTTAGAGCTCGCTGCGCCATGTCTCCACTCAGTCAGAATGACTGTGTTAGTTTCACTTTTACAGAAGTGAGTGTCGTGTGCAGAGGGAAGAGACATGCCCCGCCCCCTGCTCTGAACCCGTCTAAGCATGAGGAAGTGACTGAGTTCAACTACTGTGTCATAGATTTCTCTCCACTCTGGTGTCTCTGTGTTGTTTTCTTATGGTGCTGTGATTCCAAAAATACCTCTGTATTAAGAAGCTCAAAGAAGAATGAAAACAATTTTAAAGCTTGAAGTACAAAAAGATCTGTCCATTTGAAAACAATCCAGTTATGATGGAGGTGTGTGTGCTGCAAATAATCTTGAATAAAACAACTTCCCAAAGCAACTAAACTTTTTTTTTTTTTTTTTCCCGGTAAATTCCACTCATTGCCGGACACTAAACAAGGTCTAAACCAGATCTAAACCAGGACTAAACCAGAACTAAACCAGGTCTAAACCAGGTCTAAACCAGGTCTACAACCAAGTCTAAAACCAGGTTTAAAACCAGATCTAAACTAGATCTAAACCAGGTCTAAACCAGGTCTAAACCGGGTCTAAAACCAGGTCTAAACCAGGTCTAAACCGGGTCTAAAACCAGGTCTAAAACAGGACTAAACCAGGTCTAAAACCAGGTCTAAAACCAGGTTTAAAACCAGGTCTAAACTAGATCTAAACCAGGTCTAAAACAGGTCTAAACCAGGTCTAAAACCAGGTCTAAAACCAGTCTAAAACCGGTTTAAAACCAGGTCTAAACTAGATCTAAACCGGTCTAAACCAGGTAAACCAGGACTAAACCAGGTCTAAACAGGTCTAAAACCAGGTTTAAAACCAGGTCTAAACCAGGTCTAAACCAGGTCTAAACTAGATCTAAACCAGGTCTAAAACCAGGTCTAAAACAGGACTAAACCAGGTCTAAACCAGGACTAAACCAGGTCTAAAACTAGGTTTAAACAGGTCTAAACTAGGTCTAACCAGGTCTAAACCAGGTCTAAAACCAGGTCTAAACCAGTCTAAACCGGGTCTAAAACCAGGTCTAAACAGGTAAAACCAGGTCTAAAACCAGGTCTAAACCAGGTTTAAAACCAGGTCTAAACTAGATCTAAACCAGGTCTAAAACCAGGTCTAAACCAGGTCTAAACCAGGTCTAAAACCAGTCTAAAACCGGGTTTAAAACCAGGTCTAAACTAGACTAAACCGGTCTAAACCAGGTCTAAACAGTCTAAACTGGTCTAAAACCAGGTCTAAACCAGGTAAACCAGGTCTAAACCAGGTCTAAACTAGATCTAAACCAGGTCTAACCCAGGTCAAAACCAGGTCTAAACCAGGACTAAAACCAGGTCTAAACCAGGACTAAACCAGGTCTAAAACTAGGTTTAAAACCAGGTCTAAACCAGGACTAAACCAGGTCTAAACTACTAAACCAGGTAAACCAGGTCTAAACTAAACAGTCTAAAACCAGGTCTAAACCAGGACTAAACCAGGTCTAAACCAGGACTAAACCAGTCTAAAACCAGGTCTAAACCAGGACTAAACTAATCTAAACCAGGTCTAAAACCAGTCTAAAGTCTAAACCAGGACTAAACCAGGTCTAAACCAGAAACCAGGTCTAAACCAGGTAAACCAGTCTAAACCAGGTCTAAACCTAAACCAGGTCTAACCCAGGTCAAAACCAGGTCTAAACCAGGACTAAACCAGGTCTAAACCAGGACTAAACCAGGTCTAAAACTAGGTTTAAAACCAGGTCTAAACCAGGACTAAACCAGGTCTAAACTAGATCTAAACCAGGTCTAAACCAGGTCTAAACCAGGTCTAAACTAGATCTAAACCAGGTCTAAACCAGGACTAAAACCAGGTCTAAACCAGGACTAAACCAGGTCTAAAACCAGGTCTAAACCAGGACTAAACTAGATCTAAACCAGGTCTAAAACCAGGTCTAAACCAGGACTAAACCAGGTCTAAACCAGGTCTAAACCAGGTCTAACCAGGTCTAAACCAGGACTAAAGCAGGACTAAACTTCTAAACCAGGTTAAACCAGGACTAAACCAGGACTAAAGCAGGATTTAACAGGACTAAATCCTGCTGTGTGGACGTGTCTCCTCGTCTTCTATCAATAATATTTTTAATTTGGTTCAGTAAAGTTTGGGCTTTTTTATTTTCTTTTAACAGACAAAACATCTTATGTGAAGATTTCCTCGTCTTTGTTTCTCTACAGAAAATCAAGTAATCCAAAGTATTCAGATTACATTACTCACTTTTAGTGATTTAGTGGATTATGTTACAAACTACATTTTGGTGTATGTAATCTGTAATTTGTAGGGGAATACATTTTAAAAGTCACCTTCCCAACACTGGTCACCAGGCGACAATGGCTTTACAAATTAGTTTTATAAAGATTTTAACCAAGAAATTGATCCACTTTTATATAAAGTCTTCAACTATGTCCTTAACTGGGCAACCACATGGAACTTCAGAATTATAACCACTGTCTACAAAACAGACTGTGCTTCCTATAGGCCCATTAGTTTGTTAAACACACATCATAAACTTTTGTCATTAATATTGACTAAAAGAATATCAAAAATGATTCTATCACTTGTAAAACCTGACCAAACTGGATTCACAGGCCAAAGAGTTTGGATTTTTTTATACCGTCATAAACTGGATGAGAGTTTTATACAAAACCCAACCCATCCTCACGGAAAACTGTAGAATAGAAACATTGATCCACCTGAAAAAATTATGTATTTCACAATTTGGCCTTTTAACTTTTGACATTGTCACAGTTGTGCCATTTATTTCTATAGAACTCACGTGACTTTCAATTTTCTGGCAACTTTAGAGATCAAAATGGCCGCCTTTTCTCAAAATTTGTATCTAAATTACTATTTTATGGCTGATTTAAAAACTAAATTAAACTTTTTCTAGTGAGATATATGTGATTATTTCCATATATTTTAACAATGACTTTACACAAGCTTCAATTATCAAATTTGATTGATGATTTATGGAACGCCGAAAAAAATCTTAACTCTACAGCGTTCACCTTCCCCTAAGAATGTGTGGAAAGACGTCTCTTAAATGCAAATCTACTGCTGTTTACTCACTGAATTAAACCATATTAGTGATTATAATAGGCACTTACACCACTGGCAAACATCAAGCTTCTTTAAAGAGTTTAATCGATGATTTGTGGCATGAGGTTGGTGGGCAGGTCGGAGCACTGCCGCCCCCTGCTGGAGGCTGCCAGAGGAAGAAATTAGATGTTGACATGACATTTTAATAATCTTATAACTGAAGAAATCTAATAATAATCTGATTATGAGTGTGCATGTAACCACAGCCAGTGACTATGTGCATAAACAAATCTGATCATTATCTGATTTCTGGAGTTACCAAATGTCACAAATAAAACGTCACATTCAGTGTATAATTTATAGTTTATTGTAAAATATGGTTTTCATTTGTTTGGGATCACAGCATCAGGATTTATATTTACATTACCATCTTGACCAGTTGCTCATTCACAATCCAGAATATAATTATATGGTAACTTCAGACTGAGAGCAGGGACACAACTCTACTGTTTTGCCTTTTGGATGATTCTGAAAACAAATCCAAACTGATGATCCACAAATGTTGAACTTGATCTTTATTTGTTAGGGACTCAAACTCTTCAAATTTGTCCTATTAATCTTATGGCTCAGAGTCCAGGTCAACAAATCTGCATTCTGACAGTTAAACAGCAAATTCCACCATAGAATTTTGACCTGTCCTCCAGCTCCGTTGTAAAATGTACAAGGATTAGGCAATGTTCAATCACAACGCAGCCTACTGTGCTGTGTTACCTTTTACCTTTCATGAAAGAATTAAGCTCAGTGTTTCATTTACCCCTTTTCACTGATTGTTCACTCGTTTTTTTAACCATGCACCAACAGTGTCGACACATGTATTGAAATGTGACACACACTGAGGCCTTATCTATCCATCAATAACATTTACATCTGATGAGAGTGTTCAAATTTCTTCAGGTTTTGTCTATCGAAAAATATGCCCCAAAAAAATTTAAGTTACAAGACAAAAATTTGAAAATGTGAAAGATAGAGTTATTTTAAAATGAATCGTACTTGTAAATACAAATGAGTCTTAAAATAACACGTGTCACCGGTGTTTTTGATAATAAATTTCCTCTGTGCTCGTAAAACACACACCACAATCAGATTAAAGGTCGGGTTATCTGATTATTACAGTTATCTGATTTTCTCTGGACATGTAAACAATAAACAAACCCAGAAATAAACAGTAGAACAGTAGAGAAGAGATGTGCTGCACTGACATCTAGTGGCAAAACGTGTGAATGACAGCTCCATGTTTTAGATAGTAGTCCTTTATTTTTTGGTCTTTTTTAAAAAGTTGAACATACAAAAAACTATTCTCTAAAACAGGCTGACGGAGACCAAACAAAACAGTAGTCGTGGAGAGAGCAGAATATTTACACGAGAGCGCAGAGGGGGAAGAGGCACAAAGACTCGGCTCTGGATCCCAGGATCACAGAGAGTCTGAGCGCTTGTAGGCCACCATGCTGTTGACCTTGTGGATGGACGTGGTGAAGGAGCGCAGACGCACCTCCTCCGACTGGGAGATGATCTGAGGGCCGGACTCCTCCCACTTCTCGGGGACCACGAGATCTTTGTCGGTGTAAACCAGCAGGTCAAAGGCGCCTGAAGGACACACGAACGACAGAAACGACAGGTAAGGGACATTTCCAACCAAACAAACACAGATCTAACCAAAGTGACTGATCTTTTAGCCTTGGAGAGAAGAAATACACAAATATGATGTTCTTTTTATTATTATTTGTGTATTTATTCCGTTCATAAAGTAGAAAAAGACATTAAGAGTATCACAAGAAATGAAATGAAAAGGAGCAGAAAGAAAATTCGTCTTATGTTTTCTGTCGCTTTTTCCCTTTTCCAGACAAAACATCAACACAGATAGTCACTTTAAAACATTTCACATCAGTATATTTCAGTTCAGGCACAATTATTAATCAACTGCAAACAGAAATCTTCACTATTATGCACAACAACTTGGTTTCCTTTTTCATACTTACACATTGCACTGGATTTGAAGTGTTTTATAAATGCCATTATTGTACTTTTTGCCTGATTCTTTTATATCTTTGTCAAGACTATGCTTGGTTCTGAATCTGTTTTTGTTTTTTGTTTTTTAACGTGTAGGTTCCTTTTAAATTGTAGTGGTTTGTTCTCGTCTCAAACAGTCTTTGAATATAGACAGATAACACACTGCACTTTGTTTTATACATGACTTTGAGGAAACTTAAGTCAAAAATATCCTGCATTTTCAACACTTTAAGTTGAACAAATCATTTCTGGTACTCTGCAAAAAAAAAAAAGCTTAGCTAAAATTTAAGATATAAACACTTAAATGTATCAGAAAATTATTTAAAAGTAGTGAAATTATCTGTCTGTGCAGCAAGATCATTTTACTCGACAAGTTATCTCAAAATAAATGACCTCTAGACTAGAATTAAGCAGTTTCAGAACTTGTAAGTAGATAATAAATCTGAAAACAAGATGAACACTTTTATTTGTCTATTAAATCCAAATCCACTATCTACAGCACATTTTACCAACAAAGCAGTTTCCAAAGTGCTGCAGAGATCATAAAATGAAGACAACAAAAAGGTAAATTGTTCAAATTTGGTCATACCAGTCCTAAAACAATAAAACCTGTTCAATCTAAATAAAAGCAAAACCATAACAATCATAAAATAGCAATAAATAAAGTAAAATAAAAGACACAGAGGACCACACAACTTACACCGTGTTAAAAGCCAGAGAATAAAAGTGTGTTTTAAGACGAGACTTAAAACACTCCACTGTGACAAAGACTAGTGCCCCCTAGTGGACGCATTTTGTAATTCAGGGAAAAGAAGTTGAGTTTGTGATTATAAATATCTAGGGACAATTATTGACAGTCTTCTATGCTTTGAATCGAACACTGATGCCGTCTGCAAGAAAGTGCAGCAAAGACTGTTTCTTTTAATGTCAGTAATGTTCTTATGACCCTTTTTTATCAGAGTTTTATTAAATCTATTCTTGTATTTTGTTTTGTCTGTTGGTTCGGTGTCCACTCTGTGTCTAGGAGAAATCGTCTGACTCGGTTGGTCAAAGTGGCAGGTGAAATTGTAGTGTTACAGCTGCACATCTACAACAGAAGGGTGATTTGCAAGAACCAACAAATAAAGGAGAGGCCTGAGCACTCGCTCTTTGAGGAGTTTAACCTCTTTCCTTCTGGGCGGCGTCTGAAAATGCCCCGGATCAGAACTGGGAACAGAGAGCTCAGACTTCCTTTATTTCTGAAGCCATAACCAGGATGAATGCTCTTATATTTTGGATCAGTCGTGGTGAAATGTGGTTACATCTCCTGTTCTTTTTGCCTATATTGTCTGTATTGTTGAGCTTAAGCTGTGGTTTAGTTTATTATTGAATTATTGAATTATATTGTGTGTCGACTGTCTGACGCTGCTGCACAACAATTTCCCTCTGGTACAATAATAAAGTTGAAAGTGGAATAACCTTATATAAGTTTTAAAATCTTATTCAGATCAGAGAAATTTGCAGTGTACAGTTTCCAACACCTGCTTGTCTCTATGGTTAATGTTGTGCTTTGAATGTTCCATGGCTGGGCATTAAATTGACAAGAAAGTGGCACCCCTAGGCCAGTTTACAGGACAGATTTTTGGAGAGGCGAGCCCACTCACAATACACATGTACCAGTATATTTTTTTATCTTTTTTTGGCATTAAAACCACTCATCTTGCAATTTTTCAGTGACAATCCTGCCATGCTGTGGAAGATTCAAAACTACGTAATACCGAACATCTAAGCTGATCTAAAACACGCCGGTCTCCATGGAGAAAAGTGACACAGTGCATCTTTAAACTCGTGGTGTTATAGAAAGACATACAGTAGATGGCCAGGGTTTAAGTCTTAACACCACAGAAAAGTTAAATTGAATAATGGAGCAAAGGATCATGGTTATTGTAGTTCAATCTCATAAACACAAACCAAATAAAGCATTTTTTCTCCAGCATGATGGCAAATAAGTAATCTTACCCCCTGCTTTACAAAACCTACACAGCGTAAACTCACATGGCGTCTCCAGAAGCGGCAGGAAGGTCACTGTGGCTGTGATCTGCCTGATGACGGAGCGGATCTCGTCCTGGATGGTTTTGATGGACTTCTCTCTGGGGGCGCTGCACAGCATGACAAAACCAGATTGAAAATTATAACCAGGCTGATGCAACGCTTTGGCAAGACAATCAGGCTTTTTTTTTTTTTTTATTGCAAAGGGGAAGAGTGGGTTTGACCTGTTCTCCTTGGCCGACTTGTCGCACTCGATGTCAAACTGCCACCGCTCCAGGACGTCGTTGGTCTCCAGACACGTGATGACCAGGACCAGCCTCTGCACGGTGCACTCACACAGCCACTCTGCAACGATTACAACAGCAGATCAGCAAATGTCATCAAGGCCACGGCGTTCAGAGGAAGGGAGGGACAAGCAGAAAGTATAACGCAGCGTAATTATGCAGATTTTATATTTTTTATGCCACAAACTAGGGCTGCTCGATTATGGAAAAAAATCATTATCACGATTACCGTATTTTCCGGGCTATTAGACGCGCTCTTAAGCCTCTAACCCCATCAAAAAACGAAGCGCCCCGCAATCCAGAGCACGAATCCACTCAGGTGTCCCAGCACGACTTCAGAAAACTACAAAGCCGCACCACCCGCAGAACACGCAAACACACACGGAGCAGACAGCGACCGCGCAGAGAAAAACACCTACAGACACACTCCTCACTCCACGCCGTCGAGGAACGGAACGGAGGAACGAACCGAAAAAGCGAGCGCAATGTGCCGCTTCTAGACACAACTGAACAACTGAGTCACTGCGAACACGCCGACAATCCAGACAGCACCCTCCCTACACGCCACAACTGAACAAAGCCCAGAGTCACCGTGAACGCCACAAACAAAGTCCCACTGACCCATCTGACTGTTGGGTTTCGTTTAAAGTCCAGTACAGTTTATTTGTGAAAAAAGTTCGAAGATAGACCATTTAATGACAGTGCACTTTATAATCCAGAGCGCCTAATAGATCATAAAATACGGTAAGGCCACAGTGTTCAGAGGAAGGGAGGGACATGCAGAAAGTATAACGCAGCGTAATTATGCTGATTTCATATTTTTATGCCACCAACTAGGGCTGCCCGATTATGAAAAAATCATTATCACGATTATTTTGGTCAATCAGGATTATTCAAACGATGCATTTATTCAGTATTTATCTCTCAAAAAAACTATTTGCTATTGATATTTACGCAAAAATTAAACGTATACAGTGTTTGTCCTGTTTATGTTTAGAAAATGAATATTGAAAGTCATATTTATTACTCGATTTTGATAGTAAGGAATAGATTTGATACAATGACAATAGAATGTAATTTTGTTCTTTCTTCACTTCACTATTTCTATCCACTCCACTCAGAATCTCCAAATTAAAATAACAAACGCTCCCACTGAAAAAAAACCAACAACCCTTAAACATATAAAAATAAATATAGGCTACAATTCTGTACCTTATTGCAGTTTTGCGACACATAAAACATGAAATAAAATTAACTTTGAACATTAAATAAGGCATAGAAACACATAAATGTATCCAAAATAAACTATATATCCAGCTGTTCTACAATCTCTATATGTAAAAAATAAAATAAATATACTTATTTATATAAAAAATATCCCAAAATAAACTAAGCTTTAATCATTTCAACTCAATTATATGAGTTTGGAGTTCGTTTGACTCACAAATCGAAATCATGATCAAAATCGATGAATTGCACAGCTGGATTTTCAAACACATTCTTACGCTTACATTTACAGACCTTTGTAGCCATGAGAACTTTGGACCAAAAAAAAAAAAAAAAACAGTTGCCAGTTCTGTCTGATAACGTGCAAGAGATCTGTAAACCAGAGTTCATATTTGTCTTTCTGCTGTCGCTGGACCAATGTTTGCTGAGGCTGATATAGAGTTTAAAATCTAAGCAAGCGTCAGTACTTTATGTGACGTAATGGTTCACAAATTAACTTTTCCCTTTTGGGGGGGAAGAAAAAGAAAATGTCTTTTGCTTTAAGATTGTAGTGAAACATAAAAGATGATGAAGGAAATGATGACGGTAAAAATATAGTGACTAAAAATGTTAAAACTAGGGGGAAAAAAAGGAGAAATTAAATTATAAATTGACCAAAATACAATATATAAGGGGGGGTCTAACTCTATGGTTATGCTGCACCACTATGTTACATTTGTTTTATTTAATTAAATTTGTGTTTTGGGGGGAGGGGTGGGGAGTTTTGTTATTTTGTGTTTGTTGTAGGCTTTTTTTTTTATGTTTTAGTGTCTTGGTTTTATGTTTATTATTGTATTTTGTTGAAATGTTCTATTCTATTGTCTTTAATAATGATAATAAAAAATTCCCCTTTGTAAAATTTATAAAAAATATCTAATTTTCGGATTTTTTGGGCATAAATGTGCAAAAATACAGCTGTATTTTTTCCTAATTGCTCTTCTTTTCTCATTTTACTCATTAATCTGTTAGAAAGAAAAATCTGATGCACCAAGGACAAACTGGGAATGACACATGGGCCACACAGATTGAATAATTTTACAAAAAATATCGGCAACATTTTCGTTATCTGACCAATACGATCTCTGGGAAACTCTCTGACGTTGCAGATCCAGCACCAATTCTTACTTGTACTGTTATTTAATAGTTGTATCACTGATCCGAGAGGCTGGTACCTTTGAGCTGGGAGACGACATCGGTGAGGTAGTTCTTGAGTTTGGGGTCGGTGGTGAGCTGCAGACTCATGTCGTAGTGCGTGACACGGCTGAAGGTCTCTGGGGGGTAGATGCCGCGCTGGTACAGGATGCTGTTGATGCCATAAGCTGATGAACAGAGAGAAAACGTTTAATTAAAAATGAAAAAAGCAGCATTTACATTTTTATATTTTTTGTGTGTGTGCACTGAATAATATATAAATAAAAAAACATCCAAAACTACATGAATTTAATTTGAATGTTATTATCATTAATGTAGTCCATGTGAGATAATGTGTCCAAGTTATTTTGCTTGTGGATCAATAAGGTTTGTTCAAGTCTACAGCAGCCGTCATACAGGTATTTCAAAGAAACTAAACTATATTTTAAAAAATACTGTTATAAATTTGTAGTATTCATCATTTGTGTTGTTAAAAGACATTAAATGTATAGATTTTAACTCTTTAAGACAACCTCTTTCACTGTTGACTAGAGTGACCAGATTCTCAAAATTCTAAACTGGGACACACCCGGGTTGGTATAAATAAAATTGTTTTTAAAAAAGCATGTAAGATTTAGCATTCTCATGTCAGTCATAATCTGATGGGCTTTTGTTGCTGCATTTTTATTTATTTATTTTTTGCTTTATGGTCATTTGCAAACACGGTTTTCTGTATTTTGGCGAAACAAATGACAATTTATGCTTCTGTTTACTGTTGGCGTGGATCAGATTAGTCAAAAATTGTGACATTTTAGTCCTGGTTTAGACCTGGTGTAGTCCTGGTTTCTGTAGTCCTGATATGTAACGGATAACCCTATGTAGTAGTAGTTTATTCAGTCATTTTGCAGCACTACAAAACAAAACAAAATATAGATTACAACCCCACGGATCATGACCAAAAGGGTTTAAGATGAAGTAAAAAGTATTTATAAAGCCAAACCCTGTTAAAAAATGACAGAATTCCAAGAAAGAAAAGAGTATGAACAGCAAGTTTTACATTTACAATTTCACTTACAGCTTACTGTATACATAAGAGACAAAATATAAATTAAAACAACAAAATTCACTGCATAATTCATTCATTCCAGAGCTCTATATCTTTCAAAACAACACTCTTTTTTTTTATTTTAAAGGCTTCTACAATGTCCTGTCAATCATTGTTGCACAATCTTCCTATGACCTAGTTTATATATTATCTGAGCTTTTATATTGTATTACTTATTTTCCTGTTTTATTTTGACTTATATATATATACATTTACATAATTATGTCTTATTTCACACGTCTCTTGCTCTTTTTTGATACTTATTTGGAATTAATTATTACCATTTATGTAATTGTCTTTGTTATTATATTATATTGTGTCTGAATAATTTCCCTTGTGGATCAGTAAAGTTTGTTTCTAAGATCTCCAAGTTTAATCTTAGTTTAGATCAAATTGGTCAAAAATAGGGACACGTGGGACATTTTTTTTTTTTTTGCATAAAACTGGGACAAATCCGTGGTTTTGGATAAATCTGCTGGGACAGGGGACACAGGGTTCAAAACTGGGACTGTCCAGAGTAAATTTGGACATGTGGTCAGTCTAGTGTTGACCTTTGTTTACATAAGTTACAGTTAAATCACCCTCTTGGTATGAATGAGAATGGGCGGGGTCTGTAAGAAACACGTTTTGGTCATTTTTATTTATATTATCCGATTACTAAACGGGTTAAACGATGGACAGCTGCTATTTCTATGATCCCACGTATATTAGCGATTGCACATGTAGATTAAAGAGTTTTATTTAGACTTTAGAGGCACATTTTTGGACGGTGACCTGCGTGTATCTGCCACACGGGCCTCGCTTCTGTCTCCGCTCGCCCCAAACTCCAACAAAACCCGCATTTTACAACCGATTTACTCACAAAAGAACTCGGCCACCAGCTCCGCGCTCCCCTTCAGAGTGATGCCCTTCAGCGTGCTCGTCATTTTCTTTACGATCTCGGTATTTTTACGAACAATGAAGCTTTTTTTTCTGTTGTTGTTGTACTTGACTTCACTCGACTCGGCTTCTTCCACTACCCGCCGACCAGTTTGAAATTTGTCACTCCTGCGCATGCGCCGAGGACTGACGGCGTCGCGGGCGTAATGACGTAATGGTGCGTGTAAGAATCGGGTTTGGCCACAAGAGGGCAGCATTTCACAATTATTTGCGGTTTTTCCCCCCCCTTTTTTTTTTTTTTTTAAACCTTTAGAATAATATAGGTTCTGCACATTATTTATTTATTTGTTTATTTACTCAAAAAATTTATTATGTTTTTTCAATCCAATCCACTTTATTTTATTTATTTCCCATATTACAACACATTCAACACGATAGTTTCCAAAGGACTGCACAATACAAATAAAACATGTCCAGTAGAACAGGGATGGGCAATTATTTATTCCATGGGGCCACATGAGAAACAGAAAACATTGTGAACGGCTGATTAGACCTGTTTATTTTAGTGACACGTGTGAAACGAAGGAGCTCACTGGTCGCCTATCATTTACAAACAAAATCACATTTCTCTCACCTCAGATTGTAATGCTTCACTCAGTGATTCTGCAGAAATCTGTAATGTTTTTCCTTTATTTTTTCCCACTATGATACAAGAAGTGTATATGCTGGATCCCAGGCAACCCATTTGCCACAAACTCAAAAGACTCATAATTATGAGAGCCAAAATGTTTAACTCAATTCTGCACAATTCTATTTTAGTCCATGCATGAGGCAAAATTATAAAATATGTTTATTTTGTAATCCCAAATTAGCTTAAACAGGCCGGTCAGTGTGTACCAAAGGGCAGAACGTGGAGCTGTACAATGCCCAGGTCTGATGTAGTATTTTACTGATAGTATTTTACTGTTCTGCACATTATTTATTTATTTACTCAAAATTCTTATTATGGTTTTCCAATCCACTTTATTTATACAGCACATTTCATAAACAAAACTGTTTCCAAAGTGCTGCACAATACAAATACAAATTAAAATGAAGAGAAAAATGAAATCAAATAAGAGCAAGAATACCAATAAATAATAAAAAGGAAAAAAAAAAAAAAAACATAAAAAATTCAATAAAAGACACATGACATTTTATCTATGACACTTATGATTTTATTGATAACTTGAATGTGCAATGTGTAGCTTTTTTTTTTAGATCATGGAGATGTTATTACTTTTGCCTTGAATGTTTCCATCTGACATCACCAGGCCCAGTTCTGGTGGTCAGATCTGCGGAGAGGCAAGCCCACTCAAAGTAAGAATGCACGTTTTTGATTTTTGAGAATCAATTAAAGATAGAGAGAGATAGATAGATACATTTCAGGCCATACTGTGGAACATTGCAGAAAATTCAAGTATATCTCCGTAGAGACAAGCAGATGGTTGGTCATTATTATTACAAAAAAAAAATCACGTTTTATAAAACACAGAACAAAATGACAAAGAAAATGAGCTTATTGGTGTTATCCCGTGTTTCCTGTGTCACCTCACGGCAGAGGTGGGGTCTTACAAGTCGTGACTTGGACTCATGTCAGACTTGAGTCAGTATATTTAGGACTTGAGACTTGACTTGGACTTGAAGGTCAATGACTTGGGACTTGACTCAGACTTGAGGCTTGTAATGTGAGAAGACCTGATGCATCTCCTAAAAAAATGTGTATGTTTATAAAAAATACTTTTCTCTTTACAGTTGAAACATGTGATGCTTAATTTTACAGGAACAAATCTGAACATGTCCCTCCCACTTCTGTTTGGTACTTTGGATGGAAATGAAGTACTGTGTATGATATCCTCAAATGTACTACAGTAATAAATCTGAATTCTTTCTGTTCTGACTGTAATGATTCACACTAAGATCTTGACATTTGAAAAGGAAAAATTAGCATTTCTACAACTCGTATATAAATACTCATATATAAATATACCATAACTTTTTAAGTACAATTTAGTTTAAAATTCATAGAAATTGCAAAAGCCAAAGCTATATTTCATATTTTGGTTTAAAAACTTGAAACAAATTGAAGCTCAAAGCAGACGACTTGGACTTGACTTGGACTTATGAGCCAGTGACTTGAGACTTGACTCGGACTTGCCAGTGTTTGAGTAGAGACTTGACTCGGACTTGAGGTCAAAAAGTTGAGACTTACTTGAGACTTGCAAAACAACAACTTGGTCCCACCTCTGCCTCATCGTGCCCAGACTGGAGTCCAGCAACACAACATTACAACTCTAACATGACATATGTATTATAACAAATTAACCTTATAGTCTTTGTTTTCAATTTGTTTTGTGATTATTCCAAACAACAATAAAATATGTGTTTACAAAAATAGCCATGTGACCTGAGTGAGCGGTGGGCAGTTCTTGTAAACATCCGAGTGAGGCCCTGCTGCTGTAAAACCTGCTGAGTGGAGCCCGTAAAGACACTTAAGGCCTTCCTCTAATAGTGTCTCGTGTGGACTTTACATGGAAGACTGCTCATTAGCTCTGGACATACAGTCTGAGCACAAGTGTAAACATTGACGATGGCTCAAGTCCTGTTCTGGACTAAACCATTTCTGTGCTTTTAGCCAAGTCGTAATGTTGTTTATTCATCAAAAACTTACCAGAAATTGTGATTTGTTTCATTAACGCATTATGGAATCATTCGATATTTATTAAAAACTGAACTCTGTCAACTGGGCCCATGTTTTTAGGAATGGATACGTCTCACTATTCAACCAAGCTTCTTCAGATCACACACACCCTAGTTTTTTCTATAAAAATCAAAGCAAAAAAGCAGTAGAAATAGTAGTATGTAATTGTTTGATCAGGCTTGAGGCTTGAACAATCATGCAAATTATGACAAAATATGAGTTCACACCTTGGGCAGGTCAATGAATTTAACAGATTCTCTTTACTGTAAACATCTAGGGTGTGTCAGTGTAGTTGTCTCCTCCCTTCAGACAGTTATAAGGCAGTGACTTGCAAGTGTACAGTCAGAGCTATGGTAAAAGTGTCAAAACAAACCTTTAATCAGAATTCAATTTTCTTTCGCGACAGATGGGCAATTAGTACCGTATTTTTCAGACCATAAGTCGCATTTTTTTCATGGTTTGGGAGCTTCCTGCGACTTATACTCTGGTGCGACTTATATATTAAAATTTTCAGACTGAAAGCCACGAGAGGCTCTAGGCTTGTGTGTCAGTATCTACTGCTCTATTACTCCTGTTCCGTTGTCACTTTGTGTTCTTCTGCAAATAGTGAAATATGCACCAAAATTGAGCAGGTAAATCGAGCAGTAGAAAAAAAGTTTGGAGTGAGCGAGAAAGCGGGGATGGAGAACACAGCTTCATGGTAACCGGGAGGCAATGCAACTTTCCTGGAAGTCACTGGATGGATGGACACAGTCTGGACTTCAGTGACACCGAAACCATCCTGTCGGGATTCAGAAAACCCAGAATAATTCTAATTGTAACTGATGCTGAGTCTGACGACAGCGACACAGAAGAGGAAGCGGCGCTCTGTTTACCTCAGGGATCTACAGTTTACCGTTGCTCAGAACTGACACCAAGGATGAAGAATTGAATGGATTTAGTGATTTGGAGTGAGATGGAGAGTTTGGTAAACTTGTTCTGTTCTGTTGTTTATTCTGTAGTTATCTGAAGAACTGTTCATATGTGACGTTAACAGTCTGTTGTTCTGTCTTCTTGTTTTTACTATAATTTGCCTTTTAAGATGAAATGTCAGTTCCTGTTCTCTAATTTTCTAAAATACATTTCCCCAAAAAGTGCGACTTATACTCCGGAGCGACTTACAGTCCGAAAAATACGTTAGTAGTTTAAAACCCAACTGTGTAACATTTCTGCCTTCCTCCTTTGCGTCCAGAATGATATCTCTCTGGATTTTTTGTACAATCTGGTTCTCAGACCCTGCGTCGTGTTTCTAACCAGAACCAAACAAACCAAATGTCCAATCAGATTTCTTTATTTCAGTGACATGTGAGAAACGAAGCAGCTCATTGGTCGTCTTTCATTTACAAACAAAATCACATTTCTATCACCTCAAATTTACAGATTGTAAATTCACTCAGTGATTCTGCAGAAATCTGTGATGTTTTTCGGTCCTCTGTGATATTGTTTTTCCTTTATTTTTTCCAATTTATATATATTTGCCACAGACTCAAATTATGAGCCTTGCCCACAATAATGATGCACATTAATCAATATTTTTGTGCAATAAAAACATGTATACATATAATAAATCCTTTCATTTTTTTACGCAGTGGAGCTTTAAATTGACAGAACAATGCATAGTGTAGTTAAAGTTAAAGTTCTCTCTCCCCCCTCCCTTTTTTTTTTTTTTTTTGGTATTATTTGTTTTATTATTATTATTATTATTATTATTATTATTATTATTATATTTTGATTGATTTATTTATTTATTTATTTATCTTTATTTTTATTATTATTATTATTATTATTATTATTATTATTATTATTATTATTTTATTTTTTATTTTATTTTTTATGCGTGTTTAGTTAAGTCTGTCTTATTGTGGATGTGACAAATTATAAAAAAAAAAAAAAAAAAAAAAATAAAAAGTTGGTTAAGTTAAATCTGACCTCAAGTGACCTTAAGTGACCACAGGCGACCACATGTAACCTTTTTCATTTGCGTTATGTGATGCTCTCATAGATAGTGTAATGTATTTTTTGTTCAGGCTCATTTATTGCATTGACACCAGCCTCAGAAACATCATGACATCACTTGTGTAGCAGAAGCCAAAGTGTGAGACTCACAGAGACTCTGACAGATGGAGCCGCTCTGGCCCCTGACCCACTCGCATTATTCATGCTCAGAGGAAGTGGAATTTCCCCTGGTCTGAAAGAGGATTCCCTCATCAGATGTCAAGAGAGAGACCTCCCAAATCTCCTCGTCAACATCAAATACAAAACCACAGAACATTAAAGAGAGAGAGACTTTACTGATCCAGAGGGAAATTCAAGTTTGGCTGCAGCAACATTTCCACAGCGCTTCTCAGTGGCCTTTGTGTTTCAGT